TCTTTTTTGTAACTCCAAAATAAGGAAAATAGTAGCAAAAAACGAAATTATTATTCGTCCATTCCCTGCTTGGCTATTATCACCAAGGGAAAAATGCAGTAAACGCAAACAGAAAATGTTATTTTAAAATTGCCCCGTCATTTTTGTGTTCGAAAATGCCTTCTTTGTAATTTTCCGTAAGTACCATCTGGTGTTATATAGGTCACATAAGACTATTCTCCACTTCAGCGTAGGTGTAACTCGAGTGTTATTTTTGCTTCCTTCGTTTTTTTTTGGGTCCAAATGTGTATATTAAGTGTATCAAAACAAAAACATGCGCGCGTGTGTGTACAGGAATTTCTTCTCTATAATATTTGCGCATTCTTATACTGTGCTGTTATATTTACCATTTAGTTTCCCTACGGCAGGGTAGCCATTACACATAAACATTGCTCGTGCAGTAAGCATCGCCCAGAAAAGCGTGTCCCACCGTTTTTTTTTTTTTTTTTTTTTTTTTTTTTGTGTAGCTAAATTTCCCCAATTAAACAGCTCACATGTGCCTTAACTGATGATACATTCGAGTTTAAAATTTTTACTTCAAATGTTTTTTGATTAATCTGTGTAAAAGTTCATTAAAACATTCGTGCGGCGGCAAAATTACGCATGGCTAAATGCAAAGTTCTCTTTGCAACTAGAGCATGCACATAAGACTTGAAGCGGTGCATGCGTGTATGCAATGCGTGTATGCAATGCGTTAAGGGGAAAACGAATTACACAAAGAACTGCGAATTGTGTAACAACAGGTTTGTAACCCCCATGACATAGTTAAAACTGGGTAAGCCGAATACATATGTAATGTGTGCGAGGCGATTTAACTCAAAAGTAACAAAAAAAAAAAAAAAAATACATATATAATAACTAAAAAAAAGGAAACTTCAAAAAGACAGAACAAGAAATAAAGAAAATCAAACGCACAAAGGGCAACACTGACTAATCGTTCATCTAACTTTGTAGTAATCCCATTGAGCTACTTTAGCACCTGCGCATACACACACCCATGTAACATGCTCATACAGAAATTCTTTTCGCTCGTTCCAGGGGAAGACAAAAACTTGGAACAGTAAGCAACACGCGCCAAATGCGCTGATACATATAAAGACAGGCATTTCCACCAATGCCGTGCAGATAATGCATTAATGTGTAAACTACCCACAAGATGGGATACACGGATTTTGTGCAATGCTTCTCTTGCTGAGTCTGCACAGTTGAAGGCAAAATATGAAGCGTGTGTGAATTCCTGCCCACATTTTTTTTTTTTTTTTTTTTTTTAGCCTTGTAAATGAGCTAGCCCAATCTAAAAAGAATATCAGGAAAATACAACATTATGGAGCAAAGGAGAGAGGCGATGACAGTTCCATGCATAAAGATGATGTCAATCGGAAGCTAGAAAAGTTAGCTATCACACCATTTGGATCCAGGAGAAATGCAAGCGAGAAGGATAAATGGTGCAGCTTTAGGCAAAGGAAGAACAATGCCGAGAAAGGTTCACCTAGTGTGTCCCAAAAAAATAAAAAAACTAAGATCGATGTTAGTAAAGATATTAAGGCAAACAAATGCGACTCCCCCACCAGCGCTAAGTTCGATTTGTCCAGCATCAAAGAAAATGAACTTTTCCAAAGGATTTTTAAAACGGTTGAAAGAGAAAATATAAAATGCAAGAATGAAAAATTAAAAAGCAAATGTGAAAAACTGAAAAAATTGAAAGACAATGTAGGGCACCAAAATGAACATGTAAAAAGCAAAAATGTGAATGAAGGCAATAAAGACCAGCTAACAGAATTATTAAGCGAATTTAGGAAAGTTCTGAGTGATAAGAAGAAGACATATGCCACTTTGAAAATCAGGACTAGAAGTTTTGGAAAGGAACGCGCATCTTTTTCTCTCTATCCCGACAACGACGTCGAATGCTACAACATGCACTACAGTAGTAAGGGCGAAAACGCTAAAAACGGTTCATGCGTTCCAGTTTATGAGAAAAACGAACAAAGGGAGAAAAGTAAAGAGGATACAAAAATGCCAAGGATGCGACCTCCCTACCAATATGCCCAGGAAAAAATAGCTCAAAGGACAGACCGCAGAATTAGCCGCAGCAGTAGCCACAACCAGAAAGGATGCTCCTCCAGCAGGATTAATCAAAATGATTTAATAAATGCAGAACGAACAAATACACCCCGACAGAAGGAGCATCGAAATGAAAAAACTCACAGCCAATGTGAAAACCAATCCGTTATGGGAGGGGAAACTCCTATGAAAGGCAAAAAATTGCCACCCGTGTGGGAGGAAAGAAGTAGTTCTAGTAGTAGCAGAGGCGATAAATCACCAGGTCAATATTACATACGCTCTTGTAGCAGCAATATTTCTGTGCCAAGTAGTAATAATTACAAAACATGTAAAAACAAACACAGCGTTTCTAAGGAAAAGGATAAAATGTGCGAACAGGTCAATGACGCCAAAACAGTTAGAATGGATCGTAAAGACAAGAATGGGAAGAAAAAAGAAAAAAAAAAAGCAGACAAAGCTCTGGATAACAAATTATATAATCATAAGAATAAGCGCAGTCACACAAGTAGATACATTTTTCGAAATGCTTATACACCCCCCAGAAGTGCATCAAAGTACAAGTCACTGCATTGCAGACTTCATTCAATTGATGATCCAATGGGGGGACACTACTCCCCCGAATGCGACAACTCTTACGGTAAGAAATTCCAACTCCTAGTGGTAAAAAAGAAGAGGAAAAAAATGAACATGAAAATTTTTGCCAAAACGAAGATAGAAAAGCATATGCATACAACAAGTGGAGGAATTCATACACTCGAAGTGAAGTCTCCTAACTCCCGAAATGGATGTACCAACAGCGTAAAGGAGGACTGCCATAGGTACTCATCAATTGGGTCCATTAAACACACCAGAGAGAACTCAGACAGTTGCAAAGATGATCGATTTGACCAAGACATGGTTACATCATGTGGGAACGAATTGAAGAACCAACAAACTAATTCCAATGAGGATGAAGAGAACTCAAGCCACTTTAAAGAAAACAAAAAAAGTGGTCTCTCTGAAAAAGACTTGCATAAAATGAGCCATAATGGTAAACCAGTTTATCAAATGCACGAAGGGGAAGCTGAAGTGTGTGCCCCTAAAGTTGAAGACAAAGCACAAAACACATATGTAGACTCCAAAAGGAGGAAAAGTACGGGCGAAAGTAAAATACAAATACGACATAATAAAATTGAAGAAGAACGAGGTTCATTTAAATGTGCGCCGAAAAGAGCAGCTAACCTAAACAACTCGAAGAGCGAAATTGCGGATCTGTTAACCCATGTAACCGGAAATACAACAAGCAGAAGCAACACCATAAGTAACACCCCCTGTGAAAGACCACTTGGTGGAGACTTGGACGAAACTACTGAGAAGTTAAACAGAGGGAGCACTTCCATTATGGGCCATAGCATAGTAGCAGAAATAGGAACAGATTATCTATGGAAGGATTCCAATCTAGTGAAGCTAAATAAAAAAGGGTCCGAATTGCCACATAAGGGGGAAAACATAGAACCTGGAAAACAGCGCAAAAAAGGGAAAGCAAATTTCATATGTAGTGACGTGCGTGATGATCCACAAAGCAATGACCAAGGAAAGAAACATATAGTCCAGGACATACTATCCTTCTACACTCGACACAAAAATAAGCTGAACTTTCTCCTGCAGGAGGAATATAATTATTTATGCGGGCTAAGGGATTACGTTAGTAAAAATGCTCAAGAATCAGAAGGAGGGAAAAAAGATGATTCACCCGATGGCACTTCCACACATGAGTGCTGCGAAGGAAACAACCTTTTAATTAACGAACTAGTGCACCAGATAAATAACTGCATATCGGAAAAAAATAAGTTGCACAATTCGTGCGATGAGGGAGATCTTTCAACAAATCAGATTAAAAAATGCGATTGCAGAAAAGGCAAAGAAAATTTTATGTATCAACTATACAAAGACGATGCAGATGTGCATCAAATTTGTGTTCAAACAGACAAAAGAATCAAGCGAATTGAATATTATCTAAATCAAAGTGAGAAAAAATATTTGGGCAAAAACAATAGCATCACTAAGAAAGCAACTGCTGCCTTTTCAAAAAATTCATCAAACGATAGTTCCTCCAATAACAGTGCACCTTCTTGCAAAGACAGCTTGGTACAAAGTAAACAACCTGATTGTCCTTTTCGACGTGCATACATGACCAGTCTGCGTAATAGTGGGGCAGAAATGAATCACATGATGATGAGAAAAAAAAACCTCTCTTGGAGGGGCTCAACAATGACAAAGCGGGAGCCCAAAGGAGCTTCCATTAGTGCAGCAATGAATAAAAAAGTACTTGTGCGAAAATATGTTAGTTTCCAGAAGGGCCTTTGTTCAATAACACATTTTAAATACGAGCTACTCTACAGAATTAAGGTGTCTAAATATCTCTTACACAATTGGACAAAATTGGGAGGACATTATAGGGCCAGTTCCAATTATACCTTAAGGGGCATAAAATGTGCAGCAGCAACTTTCTCTCACCCGTGTGATAGAAGTTTAATGCGTTTTAAAGGATCCCTTTGTCTGTTCAATTACAAGCCATGTGTGCACCACTCCAAAGCTAACGCCTTTTATTTTTGCTACATGTTGTGTACGAAAGGAAGAAGCAATTTCCATAAAAGGATTGTGAATGGGCACAATCGATCAAGAGACCCAAAATATCAATATGCACAAAAAATTGATCATGGAGAGTTCAGTAATTATTTAAATTGTACAGATGGATACACATTTGGGAAAAACAATAAGACATACCCGAATGCCCAAAGGCATAGGGAAAATAAAGAGAAAAAAATATTCACTATGCAGACACCAAGTTGTGAAAACAATTTTGTTGTAACAAGAACGAACTCGAATTTTAGCCACAACAATTGTACCCCTTTCTGTGGAGGGGAATCGCTTAACTGTGCGCATTCTACTAGGAGCGTGATGAAACAGGCTATTAATAGTATGTCGTGCAGTGGGGGGAAATACATCACTAAGAAAGAGAGTGCTAGTTTCGCTTCAACCAATTTAAGGTGGAATCCGGAAAGCACCCCAGAAGAAGGAGCTACATGTGAGAGTTCTACTCACCGAATGGCTAACTCCATGTGGGCTACCTCCACATCAACATATGTTACACAAACGGGGGGAAAAAACAACCCCCTTAAAAATGATATCCCCACGAGTAGCTCACTGAATCATTTGAACAGAAATTTAAACACAGCCAATGCTGGTCACGTAAATCCTAATTTGTTAAGCGATAAGGAAAAACGCGAACAATTGTACGATAATACTGCAGGGAGAACAAAATACATGCAGTCTGCTAACTCGATAAAATCGTTGGGCATTAAAGAAGAGTCAACTTTAAATGGTAAACTTATGTGTGAGCCTAATTACCCGTTTGAAAAACAACTGACGCGAATAAATCACCACATGCGAGGTTCTCAAAAAGACAATTTTACTTTACCAAATGAAAACAATTATCTGAAAAATTCGATCACTGTAGAACAACCCAGCGCGCATTTTAACTTGAGTGATAATTGTACAAGCGGGGGGAAGCATGCAGAATGCTTGAGCTTCCCAAATGTGGGACACACCGCGGAGTATACCCCACAAAGAGAATGGTACATCAATGTTTACGAAAATAATTGTGATACAAATGACAGCTTGGGGAAAAGCAAAAATATGTACCAACTAAACTGCTCATATGACCAAATGGTAAATTCACTGTGCACAAGCAGAGGGCATATTGCGCACGGAAATGTTGGAAAGAACAAAATTTGCAAAGAACAAGTAAAATACAAAAAAAAATTCAATGTAATTAACGATGAAGAAGGTCAAAATGGAAAAGACAATGTGTCCAAGTTATGGGTGGAAAATTTTAACGAAGTGCGTGAACATAATAGGGATAGCGACACCCACAGTAGGAGACAGGATAAATGCCAGTTAGTCTCCCAAGTGGGGAAGAATATCCCAGGCGAGAAGATTAATGTGAACAAATCGGATAACACCGCTACCGCTGATGGATTGGACAAGTGTTATATAGACTGGCTCATCAATGGTGACAGGCGCTCCTCAAGGAATATAGGAGCAAAATTAAAGAAAAAAAAAAAAAAAGCAAATAATATTCCACATGCTGAGAAGGACAAAAATGGAAACACGCCGATTCAAAATGCACACTGCTTCGAGAAGGAAAAAAAAAAAGGGAATTCCCCAGAAAAGGAGCTAACACAAGGTGAAACACATGCAGCGCAAATGAATCATATCAGAAGCGACCGCAAAGAAATTGGCGCGACGACATGGTCCTCACGAAGTGGTCAACACAACGTACAATTAAGTCCACCTTTCGACGCAAGACACTGTAACAATAAAAAGGAAAATAAAAATATGGACAAATATTTAAATTTTGAAAAAAGAGAAAGTTACAATTTCTTCGATGATGCGGTGGACACATTCGACAGGGTCATGCGCGAAGAGAATTCCAAACCGTTCAATACTCATCTGGGCGTAAGCAAAAATGAGATACAGACAAAATGGGAGGAACTAAAAAGGCGTGATAATAATCCAGAGGAATACTCAAATTTCGCCAATTCGTCAAACGGAAAGATGGAGGAAAGTTACTTTTTCCCTTCATGGAACGAAAAACAAAATTCGAAAAAATTAAAATATGATATCAATGAGCATATAGACGGAGACACGCCTCTTAATTGGAACCCATCCTCAAGCCACCCCCAAAAGGGGATAATTGACGCAAAGGAATATACGATGCAGAAAGAAGACTCCCCACGGATGGACAAACATGGCAAGGAAGGCAACGTCTTCATGAGTAACGACAATACAGTCAACACAGAGTATAACGAAAGAATGAACAACCATTTCAACCAATCCCGATTTAGCGATTTTTACAACTCGAACAACTTTTCTCAAAGCTTCAATTTTACAGAAAACGATAGGGCTGTAAGAGGGAGCAGCAATTGTGATAGTATCTCTCATAATGCTGTTAACACAAATAAGTTAGATCAAATTATTGAGAAAATAAAAAAATGGAATGAACACATTTCAAATGATGTAAACTATATACAGTGCCTATTTTGTGATAAGTATTTATTCAAAGTGGAAAATCATCACGACAGGGACATAGTGAACTCTTCGATAAACGAATCAATGAACAAAGAAAAATATACTTGTTCGATCTGTAAACATAAAATAAGAATGCTAAATAAATACAAGGATGGGGTACAAAATGGAAAGCACGTTGACACACAAAAAGGGGAGTATTTTGAAGACAAGTTAAAGGATGGTAAAAAATTTACTCTTCACAATGCAGAGGGTGAAGTAGACTTTTTAAAAACGGAAAAATTCGAAAACTCACTTGGCATCACTTGCTCTGGCAGCGATAAATTTTCCACGTCCCTGCCAACGGATGCATCGCTAAAAGATGCATCATTAAAAGATGCGTCGCTAAAAGATACTTCACTAAACAGTGATGTTCCTAAAAAGGGTGCTTACCATAGCGGAAGAAAAAGTGAATGTGGAAATGCCTTCGGTGACAACTGCTCCCTTGCTGCAAACAGCGGAATTGATGACCATCCCCAGTTTGATAAATGTAGCTCCGAAAATGAAGCGCTTTCTTTTCACAACAAAAATTTAAGTTACCCCCGCGGTTTTGCCATGTTTGATGACGCGGCTAGGAACGGCTCGTGTGCCAGCAACGTAAATTCGGACCTGTTCCATTTCGAGGAGCTCCGCCCGAAAAGCGGCAGCGACTGCTATAGCGACAGTGACAGTGACAGCGGCGAGGCTATTGACGACAAAAGCACGAGAAGCAGTGGTGAGAACCCAGTGCACACATACTCGTTAGACAACGGAATCAAAATATAGAAACGGGGTAAACTCGACCACATGGGCGCAACTGAAGTAGCAATTTACGCACCAAAATGTTGTCTATTTTTTTTTTTTTTTTGATTCTTATTCCTACGTAGTAACAAATGGCAGTTCCTTATTAAAGAATGGCTTTAGCAAGAAGGGGGTGTAGCCCTTAAAACATACATGATATATAACTATAAAAAATTTGCCCACATATATAGGCATACGTGCACACACATTTTAACATGTGCGAACAAAATTTGTACAAAAATCACGAATTTGAGCATTCGTTTGTGCGAGGTAGGTGCAGCATAATTACATAATTAGCATATCCTCATTAAGCATAGAGTACACAATTTTCACAAAAATTTTTATCTTGAATTCTTCCTCCATAAGTTTAATCATTTCTGAAAATGTTACATCCCTTTTCGAAATATTTGTTAACCGTTTGTTATCCATTTTTTCTATGTATTCACTTAATAAGCACAAGGATTGCACCTTTTTCTGCAAAAAATCGTCATGGTCTTCATTGCCATGCTGTTCATGGGCAGCCCCTTTTCCTTCCATAGCATTTCCTTTTATGCTGCCCATTTGGCTTCCCCCTTGCAAAGAAGCGTTACCTCCATTTTGTCCCAATTCATTAGCGAGACGCCCAAAGTAATTGATATAAAAACAGCCATCAATGTCAAACTGGTTTGGGCTGGAACATTGCTTCGATTTATATATTAATATGTTTACGCATATAAGTGAAGCAAATTTTTCTAAGATCAGTTTGACCGGTTCTGGGATAACTTCATCAGATTTAATAAACAAAAAGGAAAAAGAAAAACCTTTACATAAAACAAAATTGTCAATTTTGGTTTCTTTATGATGATAACTCTTCTTAATAATATACACATTTGGGTGGCAACTCTTCAGATGATCTAAATTAAGGAGTAAATATTTGCTTAAAAATATTTTGTCGTTTAAAATGTACGATGTGTAGTTAATTAGCTGGCTTATGCTCCTGTTAAAATATATATGCTTAAAAATATCTTTAAGTTCCACACGGGTTAGCATTTTGTCAACTTGGATTTTGTTTTCATCATAGAATAGGGGCAAATAATGAGACACCACTTCTTGGTCCAAATTCAACTGTCCTACTTTTCTAGTTACATTACCTCCAATTAATTTGTTACACAAGTTAATTAACAGTTCCTTAAAATGTATACTCTCCGATACTAAGTCATTGTAACTGTTCAGCTCTGTTATCGCTGTGCAATTTCCCCTTGAAGATAAGCAGTAGTATCCTTCTGTTAATTGCGCCTCCTTTTCGTAACTTTTATTAAAATTTTGAAAAATATAATCTACACTGCTCTCAATGTTATACCCATTTTTGTTCAGAATATTTTTACATATGCCTACTGACAGGTTTGTGATTTTTCGGAGGTCTTTAATTTTTTTCAGATCTTCACTGGATAGTGCTGATTTAACGGTGCTGAAGCACACTTTCGTTCTCGCCAATTTGAAGCGACTTAGGTATTGAAACTGGGGCATCATCATCATATCGAAGCGTGCCCTAACCAGTGCGTCTTTAGGGGGATAACCAGTTGGGGTTGATATATATCCGCACATATATGTGTATACATTTTTAAGAAGTGCCCATTTCCTCTGGCGCTCCGTACACACCTTTACAAACTGGGAGGGACCCTACGGATGAGCTTATGCTGAATAAATGGTGGAAGCTGTGGACATCCCCAAATTTTGCCACAAATTGGGGAAAATAAAACGCTAAAAAAAAAAAAAGAATGGTTCTCTTAAAAATACGTCATCAATATTAACCTTACAATGAAAACATCTCTTACGCTGTTAGGAAATTTTTTAAAAGTATAGGCACATCCGTTTGTTTTTTAAAAAGCGCAATCGACCGTATTGCCCGTGACACGCTCCTTAAAGTGTAGAGGGGATGAATTGCCCATTTCTACGCATCAAAACAAAATTAATTTGTTCCATATGGACACATTTTATTGTATAATACTATTTTTTGTAAACCTTTGAGACGCTTTAATGGGAAGTAGGACCTCTTCCCATGTGTTGCCGGTGCAACTTAAATTAAGTGTATGACAAAATGTGATAGAAGGGTGTAGTCCAAAAAAAAAAAAAAAAAAAAACATAAATAATAAAAAGTTCGTTCTTTGGGAAAAGTGCTTTTTGGCCAACTTTTTTTGATTAACTGATCTTAATTTAACCCAATTCGCTTTAACAACATCGCTTAACGCGAGTAGCCTTTCTTATTTTGCTTCTTTAACCGTTGATATTGAAAAAATATGGGGGGAGTTCAGAATGATTGCAGCGGAAACACGCCGTAGCAGCGAACATGTTTTTTTTTTTTTTTTTTTTTTTTTTGAACACGGGCCATTTGTGCTACGCTCTTAAGTTGCGTACATATTGCATACATATTGTAAAGAAAAAACAAAAAAAACAGGAAAAAAAAAAACAAACGGTAGGCATTCGGAACGTTTTTGCGCTGAAGCTTTATACTACATGTGATCCCAGGTCCTTTTCATGTTTTTGTCAAAATGGTATACTCTTTTTTTTTTTTTCCTTTCTCATTTGCAATGCCTTTTTTTACCCTTATGCGTATTTTAAAAATTAAAAAAAATGTTTGCCCTCACATTTCAGTAGGATACTTTTTTTTTTTTTAAACTCTTGTTTCATGATTGCAGCGGAAACACGCCGTAGCAGCGAACATGTTTTTTTTTTTTTTTTTTTTTTTTTTTTTGAACACGGGCCATTTGTGCTACGCTCTTAAGTTGCGTACATATTGCATACATATTGTAAAGAAAAAACAAAAAAAACAGGAAAAAAAAAAACAAACGGTAGGCATTCGGAACGTTTTTGCGCTGAAGCTTTATACTACATGTGATCCCAGGTCCTTTTCATGTTTTTGTCAAAATGGTATACTCTTTTTTTTTTTTTCCTTTCTCATTTGCAATGCCTTTTTTTACCCTTATGCGTATTTTAAAAATTAAAAAAAATGTTTGCCCTCACATTTCAGTAGGATACTTTTTTTTTTTTTAAACTCTTGTTTCATATGACAAGATCACAATTTTTTTTTCTTTTACGTTTCATGCCCTGCTGTTTCATTATTTTGCTCTTTTGAATTTTTCCCTTTGGAAAATTTCGCTTAATTAATTTTTCCAAATCAGTGAACGAGAAAAGGCGCCTTCCTTAGTTGTTCACGAAGAGTGTATATTTGTATGGCCCGTTTTTATGAAGTATGCCATGAGTAATCATTCTGTTATAATCTTTGTTTTTCTTTTTTCTCCAAAATAAAGTTCTGCACATTAGAATATAAAGTATACAGAACCTGTTAAATGGGAACAAGTGTTACGTAGGCACAAATGAGTGACACATTGTTTGTATTGGGAAAAAAAAAACAAAATCCAATTTTGAATTTATTGAATGATTGCTAATGTATATATATAATATGTTGACATCTTCGAAGGAGCCACAATTGCTGTTGTAAGCTGTCGTATCGTAGCTGCCTACAAGAATAAATGGAAGGGAATAGTCCCCCAGGGGGGATAACAATACGAGCGTGAATACATATATGCATGTATTCTGTATGTATATTACGTGCGCTACATTACATAAATGCCAACCCAGTCGCTTGCTTCTCCAACTAGCTGTGTAGCTTGGAGAATACCTACTGAGCAGGTATATGCAGTTTTGCTCACGATAAGTCATCAGCAACTATTTAAAAAGTACAAGGAATAGTTGCCCTCCACCCTCCTGATACAAATGTAACAGATTTGCACACACCCCTTTTCGCGAAAAATGGAGCATAACAAATGTCATGAAAAAAAAAAAATGGAAAAATTTGTGTGTCCTAAACACACATATGAATACAATGAAGATGATAGGAAAAATTTGGGAATAGGTTATCTGAACCCTGAATTTCTACATGACGAATTGACAAGATTAAACATATTTACCATCATAAAAAATGAAATAATAAACGTACTGTCGGTTATTAAAAAGCACGAATATAATAAAAATTTGGACTCCAGCATTGTGGACGCCCTGTTCATCCTGTACAGCAGCATCAGCAATTTGACCAACAGCTTGAAGGAAGAAATAGACATACACGAATTTAACAATAAGCTAGATATATATCATATAGCTCCTTTTTTAAATATTATAAGAAATAATAACATTTTTTATAGAATAAAACTAAACGCTTTACATTCCTTGGATCACATATTACAGTATAACAGTAGCTATTTCAATGAAAAAACGTATGATGAAAATATTTCTAAAAATCAGGACTCGAACATCTCCATCGAAAATGATCAGGATGTCAAGCCTAACCAGAACAACCACTTAAATATGAAGGCACTAAACGATGCACACGAAAACAATTCTACAAAAGTGAGTGACGAAAAGCATGATGATAGCGAGGTGCTATCATCCAAGATGAGTGAAAAAATCCCAAGGAAAAAAATATATAATTTTTTTTCAAAAAATTATAAGTTAACTAAAAAATTCTCTGATAAGAAGGAAGATAATCCCGATTTCTTAATTAACAAAGGGAACAATATCATTAATGTGAGCATAGAAACGTTACTCTCTGCACCTATTAACTACAACAACATTAACCATGAAGAAATTATACTCTACGAAACTGTCATTTTGTTTAATAATGTGCTATATAATGCCATCAAAGTTGTTGACAGGAAAAATGTTATAAAAATAATTTGCTACATTTTTAAAATATACAAGAATACTAAATATTCCCTGTTGTTTAAGGGCAATTGTGAATCCATCTTGAAAAACATTTTCTACATTGTCATGAATAATCTGACCAGTAGCACGGGCAGCGCAAATATGAGGAGCGGTAACAGTTCTACTGCCGACACACCTAGTAACGTTAGTTTAAAAGAACCTAGCGACGCTCTCACAAACCAATCTAGCAACACCTGTGTGAATGCAGCAAGCCTTCCAGATGACGAATTAATGCACGATTTGTTAACCATCATTCTGATACTAATGAACAGCAATAAAAATAAGTTTGTCGAAGATTTATTAAAAACGAAGGAGTGTATTGGCTTGTATAATGACTTGTTTGAAAACGAAATATCTAGCGACAATATGGAGTGCATTAATGTGCTGTCTTTCACATTGCTAAACATTGTTTTAGAAACATGCGGATACGCCCTGATAAACAAAAATTTTGATGCCCTGGCCAACATAATAAGGTGCCTATTTTTGCACATCACCTCATCGTCTTATACCCTCATGTGCAGGTCCATGAGAACTTATATAAATATTTTTATCCTTTATAAGAAGCACTTTTGCATTTACAGCGAAGTCTTTATTAATATATTATTAAGCATACTGACGAAATGTTCTTCCAAAAACGTTGCAGAAACTGCTTTGCTAACCTTGACCTATTTTTGTCTAGAAAACGTGCTATTTGAAATATATTACAACCATGATGTTAATTTGTACGCATCCGACCTGTTGGAAAATTTCATAAAAACCGTACTAGATTTGTGCGTCCATTTTAATCACAATACGACGATTATAAATGAAGTTATTTTTAAGATGATAAAGAACATTTTGCACATAATAATCCCATGCCTGGGAACTTGTGGCACCACCGCAGCTGTGAGCACCAACAAAAGTGGCACTAACGTATTGAATGACCAAAACACTCGAATGGGTGACATAGGTGGATACACAAATCAACTCATTAGTGAATTCAGAAATGATTTATACACAGATATTTTTGGCTATGTAATCCATTCTGGGAAAATCGAGCTGCTCAAAGGTACATCTGGCATTAGAAAATGCATGGAGAAATCTGATGAGCAGAGAAAAATGGAAAAAAAAAAAAAAAAAAAATTACTGAATGAAGAAAGTGGTGGCAATAAAAGCACAACCTTGATAGGATACTCCAACGAATCCTCCAAAGGGGATGAGCAAAAAAAAGACGAAGGAATTCAGCAAAATGATAGTAAAGAACATCCCGCTAAACATGGAGATGACACAGAAAACGCTCCAGAAAAACAGGAATCCAAAAAAAGTAACATGAATGAACTGTACACCCTCAATTTTCTTACATCAAGCAAGGACAAAAGCTATGTCCTCCTTTGCTCCATTTTACTGTGCGAATATGTTAAGGAGTCTATAAAAGTGGACTATATTAAGAATAAGGAACATTTGATGAGAAAAAAAAAAATAAGAAAAGAAATTTTAAAAAAATCAGCAAACATTTTTAACACACTAAAAAATAAATCCATCGATGAGTTAATCAAAATGAAAATGATCCAAACGAGGGACACGTTCAGCCAAGTGGATAGAAATGATTCTATTCTCGCTTCGCTAATGACAGGTAAACAGGAGCATTTCAATGCACAATCGAATCACTCCTATGACGAGAAGTCCTGTCCTTCCAGAGAGATGGACACAGAAAAGCACAACAGTGATGAAACTCATGGAACGCCACATGTTGCTGCTTCTAACAATAATGATAATAGCGCCAACGTGTCAAGTAATAGCAGAGATATCACATGCCCCGGAGCGAATGTCCACAGTGACATGAATAGTGCAGAGAAGGAACCTAACGTTTGTCAAAGGAATCTCCATTCTGCAAAAGACCAATCCAATGGTGACATAATAAAAGGTGCAGTGGAACAGCTTTTTAAAGATCATAAGAGTAAGGGATCACTAAGCAGCAGTTGTGACAAGGGAGAGATGGATAACAGTAACGAAAGGAACGAGAAGAGAGAACCCCTTTCCCACGTCGAATCGTCAGGAAACCAAAATACTAGCGGAACCACGGATTGTGGCACCAACACGGGGGAAACAAAAGCGTCTGTGGTGCATTCGGAGGATGCGAACGCCAAAAATGCAGAAAACGATTTAGAAGCAGAATGCAGGATGCAGCAAAGGCCTAGCGATGCGAACAGTGCGGACGTAAGCAACACGGAGAATAGCGAATCACAAAATGTGATGAAACGAAACAGCGTTGTCAGTAACACCCAAGGGAACCTAATGGAGGACCCACACTTTTTGAAGTCCATAGCCAAGTTCCTGAGGTATAATCCCTTCCTAGATAAAGAATATGTGGGTGAATACATTTCTCACAGAAAAAATATAAATATTTTGAAGTGTTACGTGCGACTGTTTGACTTCTGCAATTTGTCCTTACTGTCCTCGTTGAGATTGTTCTTGCACTGTTTCAAGCTGCCAGGAGAAGCTCAACTAATCGAGAGAATATTAGAACATTTCAGCTTGTGTTTTTTTTATTCGAATCCAATTTGTGGAGACTTAGATAAGGTTTACCACCAAGAGGGTGACAAAGTTGAGTGCTTGTTAAAGGATGAGGAGCTAGCCAACACGAAGAGGTACGTCTTGATCGATTTCCTGAATGATAACGCACACGAAGGGGCTAGCGGAAACGGTAGTAATAACCAACCAAATGAGAGCGGCGAATCGAAGCAGACAGATGGAGACTCACCGTGCGAGCATAAAAAAAGCAGCTCCGAAAAGAAGAAGAAGAAAAAAAAGAATATCTCGCAACATAGCAATGTGCAGGAAAAAATTAATCTAAAAAAAGACGTCGACATGCATGATTATATTCACAGACATGTGTTCCCCATGTCGAAGAAAATACAATTGATGAGCGAAGAGGAAGTGCAGAAGAAGTACGTCATTGTTGAAAATAGCGACGTTATATTTATATTAACCTATTCCATCATTATGTTGAACACAGATTTGCACAACAACCAGGTAAAGAACAAAATGAAATTGGAAGAGTTTATTAAAAATAACAGGGGAATAAATAACGGAAAAAATTTAGATAGAATATATTTGGAAAATCTATACAACTGCATACTGCATGAAGAAATTAAGCTCTTCTCAAACACACAGAGCACGTACACAAATGACAATCAGTACTGGAAGTTACTCGAAAAGAGGAAAGAGCAGTACAAAAATTATCATTCATTTAAGGCAAAGGAGGTATACTTTTACAAATTTGACATAAACAAATTGTTAATTAAAAATAACTTCATTCCGATTTTTTTCCAAATTTTCAAACGTACCAATGATTACAATTTAACAGAGAATTGTCTGAGCATATTCAAAATGGCCATAACAAATTTTGCCTACTATCATGATGTGGATAATATAAATAAATTATGTTATATATTTAAATACATCAATTTTTATTTGACGCAAAAATCACAGTCATTACTGTACCTCTTATTTCATCTCATCAAAAGATGCCACAATTTATTTAGAGACGGATGGGCAATGTACATAAATGTTTTATGCAAATTAATTACCATAGATTTAGTCCCCATCTTCTTTTATCCTCACATGTATATTAACAGTGCCCAATTTAATAACGACAAAGATTTCCTCCATAGAAAATACAAAAAGGGAAACTGCGTGGAGACATATAATATCAATAAAAGCATAACAGAGATTTATCAGCACCCACTTTTGATATTTAAAAAAAACATTAAAAAAATGAACAGGTCAAAATGGATTGATGAATTCAGTAGTATGTTCTTTTCCAGACATAGCAATAATGAAAATTCCAATTTGTCCATCATATTTAGGGAAAGCTATTCTGACAAACTCGATGAGGATAAAAAGAAAAGGAAAAAAAAAGACAAAACACAGGAACATGCACATAAGGAAAAAACGATTAACACGTCTATCAATAGTACAGAAATAAAACAAACGGATGACGGAAACGAAGACGATGATGATGAAAATAATGATGAGGAGGAGGACGACGATGACGAGGATGATGAAGATAACCTCAACCATATATATGTACATATTAAGGTAGACCCCAAAAATGTGGATAACAGCTCCATCATAGATAGTGTCACCATATATAAAAGATTAAAATTAGATATTTACAACTTTTTTACCGTAAACGATTTTTATAACAATATGATTACCAATTTGAACATCACCAGTTTTGTATACTTGATCAAAATTTTAATGATTAAGTGTTCAGTTACCAAGCACAGTGAACGCAACAGCGCGGCTCAGGGAAGTAGAAGCGATCAGCATAACTCAGGCCTAAGAATGCCAATTATAGCGAATCACAATTTTATGACAAATGATAAGAGCGCCGGCATGCATAACGCCCAAGAAAATATTAATGACTCTAATCCAGTTTTAATAAATGCGGATAACTCCTTCGATTTGTTTTGCAACACCAAGGAAAAACTGCTCACATCACAAATGCTCTTTCACATTATGTATTTTAAGATTAACTACACATATGTGTTGTATAGCATGATTTGCAGAATGGGTAAGAGGAGCTCCACAAAAATATTGAAGGAAGGGGCTGCTCAACCAAAGTGTGCAAAAATGAGGTGTCCGATAAATTTAATTGTGGAAAAAACCCTAAGGGGAGACAAGCATCTAAGCGCGGTAAAGAAGGAAAATGACGAAAAAAAAAAAAAGAATCGATATGACCTCACATTGAATAATATTTACGACACGGACAATTCGACGAACGTCACGTCTAGCGATTCAGAATTCAGCGACATATCTAGTGACTCCTTTTTTATAAGAAAGAATGACCTAATGGCTGAAGAAAATCGAATCTACGGAGATGGAGCTGAGCAACATAAGGGGGATTCCCAAGAAGAACAAGGGGAGCCGCAAAAACACAAGGACGAATTTGATATGATTTACTCGTACGCCAATGATGACGATAGTGTCAGTGGGCAGGACGCCTCTGATGAATACAGCTCCGACGAAAGCAGCGATGAGAGTTGCGATGAGCATAACGACGCCGAAGCGGATTGCAAACCCCCCCCTGCGAGTAGCACTCAGAGCGCGAATACACACAACCCGAGCAAGTGCACGCCAACAGATAAAGGAAAGGAGTTTTTAATGGACAAAATTAAGATGAACTTGTACTTAAAAACGTACATTATGCACCTGAAAATTACCGCAATTACATTTGAGCATTTCTTTAACCTCCTAAACAAGTTCCTCCTAATCAACTATGACAGTAGCATCTTTGTGAGCATTTATAATAGCATTTTTGAGGACTACCAAATGGAAGACATAAAATTTGTGGCGGAAGAAGACTTTGCAAATGATGACAAACTGTCCTACCAGATCTATGAAGAAAATTTCGAAAACATCGACAAAAAGTTACATTACAAGGAGGAAAAGGTAGCCATAAATGACATAGAAAAGAACATGTTCCTTATAAAAATTCCCAAGACGGAAACAGAAGAAGAACAAGAAGAGGATTGGTTATTCATTGAACATCTTATCATGAGCATCATCAATTTCTCGTACATTTGTTTTAGTATATACAAAGACGACAAGCAAAAAATGAGCAAAAGGGGAACAAGCAAATTGAGTAGTGTACACATCTTCGAGGATAGTAGCTATGCACGCCTTATGGAAAAAAACAGCAAATTTTTTTTCCTCTGTGGAATATACCTTATGTACATTTTACAGTTCCTGAAGAAGAACATTTTACATCGATTCATAGACAAAATAATTTACATGTTGGAGAAAAGCTCGAAGAATGTTTATGTGAACAGCTGCATCATTAACATATACCTGCACATGTTGCAACTCATCACACCAAATAATATTCTGTACAAAAATACAAACAACACAAATATTTCGTTGAATGATAAAGATATTTACATTTACATTGAAAAGGCTACCATCTACACGGAAAGTATTAACAACATTATTAACAATAATAATGTGCTGCTAAAATTGAACAATTTTAATATTGAAAATATTATTCTCTCCCTTCTCCCATATTTACTATATTTTAATAACAAGAAAGAAGAAATTAATGCACATATCGCGTCCATTAATTCAGAGTGCCTTCACATTATTTCGAACATATATTATAAAAGTACGTACATGTATATGAACAACTCGAAGAAAACAAACAAAGCAAACGACACCGACGGATATTGCCAAAATGACAATTACAACTCCAGTTTGTGCAAAAAGTACAAGGACAATATCTCATTTGAGAACGTTATCGAGCTGAAAAAGAAGTACATCTTTCTTCTCATATGTTTTGTTTTGTCACTGGCTTGCTCCTTTAGCTCCAAGAGAACCAGAAGTGAAGCCTACATAAAGCTGCAGCAGTTTCTGTTTAATGAGAATTATATTTTTACAAAGGTGAAAAATCCCAATGCGGACAACTCTGCAAGTAGCGCTAGTAACAAAACTGAAAAAAATTCCAAACAGGAAAAGTGCGTATATAGGGATGAAAAGTTGATAGACTTGATAAGCAATTTTATCATCCTGCCACTAATCACGTACAATTATTACTTCCCCTTTATATGCAAAAGTGTGTATTGGGGAGAGGCATCCGGAAAAGGCGAGAAGGAGACTACAAGTGAAGCGAAAGGTTCCGTAAACGAAGCACAGTGTAATCAGAACGAACAGCCAAACACAGCTGTGCATGCGAAGAACAATTACTGCAAGGGAGCCCTCCTCAACTTCAACCTGTACAACAAAAGGAACAACGACATATCGGACAACATGTGGAAGCAACACGAATACGAAAACTGCGGTTGTATTATTAATTACAAAAATATAGAGACGGTGGATCCGGACCTAAACGTGCTAACAAGTTTGTTCAATTATGCAAATGATTATTATATACACACTATGTTACATAAACAGTACAATTACTACTTCAGCTACTTGTACGCCAAGAAATTGCTAAGCTATGACAACGTCTGCTACAGGAAAAGCATGAGCATAAGTTTCGTGAGCCATATCATTTTGTCGTTCCTGCATTCGTTACTGAATTACGCAGGGGATGGATGCGAGCAAAGCGTTGCAGGAAATGAGGAGCCCCATAATGACCATGGCGAACCCACTAATGACAAAAACGATTCTACTTCATCAGATGATTGTAGAGAACCGAATGACATCAACCTGTATGATCTTCTCTGCCTGAATATTGACAAATCGTGTAATAAAATTGTCACCAAAACCAAATGTGAAAATAATTGCATCTTCTACTTTTTGAAGCATTTTTACCACGCACTGCTAACGATTAAGGAAGAAACGACGAAGATTTTAAATATTTACAAAGAGACCTTTATCGAGAATATTAAAAATATCATCTACGTCTCATCGTCCTATGCATACTGCTTGAAGGATCATCGCGTCAACTGCTTTGCGCATATAAAAAATGGTTATTCTTTCCTAAATGAAGAGGAGAAGAAGCTGTTAAAATCATACAATATGGAAGCTGCAGAAAAGGCTGAAAACGCACTCGAGTGCGACAAGGAAATTATTGAAAACATATCAAAGTTGCAAATCAACGTGAGGATTAGTGTCGTCATCGTTTACTACATTATGTACACAGATAATAACCAAAATGAGCAATTTAAAAATATTTTTGAAGAGTTACTGAATGTCCTGTTGACCAAATATAGCGTTAAGGCAGAATCACAAGACAATGGTGCGGATGTTAGCGCTAAGTCGGAAAATGCACATGATCAAACGGATCAACAGCCAGAAAATTTACCCAATGAACCCAGTAAGACCGAAGAAAATGCAGAAACGACGAACCTAGATGAAAAGGAGGAACCATGTGACCAAAAGGCCGAAAAGGTCAACGATGATGAAAACATACAAACGAGCGAACAAAATGAAGAGGCTGAAAAGTGAGCCCAGAGGTGCATCCATTTCTTCGCGCAACACATGTAGGAGCCATTCCTTTTCTAACAATAACCAAACAGGTTTATAAGAATAATCAAAGCAACCTTGTTGACCTCCTTAATTATTTTAAACGTAAACGGAAGCGCCCCCTTCCTGAAGCAGAAGTAAAAAGTTGCTCATCCCATTGGTTGGAAAAAACTACAGAAAAAATCAAGCATCATTGTTTAGCTAAAACTACGAAAACACAAAAAAAAAAAAAAAAAAAAAAAATTACGCAAAAATGTTTGTCTGGTTCCACTGTTTGGAAACTCGATTTCATATATGTCATTTTCACAAGCGTCTATTTTTAACTTTGTTATGTTTCATTGTCCAGTGGTACTTTGCCCCTATTTGTGCAACCCACTGGGTGTTGTATGTGATGTGCGTCCATGTTACACTGCGATGCGCTGCCCCTAGTTGTGATATACCATTCCATCTGTGCTATGATTTGTCAACTTATTATTTTTTTTGTTTGTGATGGAAATTCCTAATCAAGGTGTGTACCAAATTTAGTTTTTATTCTCCCACTACCGCCCCGCACACCGTTTTAGCATTCTCTGTGCGCGTAACTATGTGTAATGCGTTTGTGGTGTCGTGTCATTGTGCGCTTATTTTTATGTGAGCACCCTTTCTCCATAGTAGCCATGCATTGCCACGCCACAGTTCGCGTCATAATCCGTCATGGTAAATGTTCGGCTTCAGCCAAGGATGTTCCAATGCCTCATCCGCATTAGGCCGTTTGCATGGGTCGATTTGCAGTAGTGACAAGAGAAAATCTAAAAATAAAGTATCTTCAATATGAAAATTACGTTTTAGCAAGTTGTCACTTGGGTAGCAAACATCATAATAAATTTCTTTACGTGGTTTTAACGAGTACTGCGAACCCTGATTTGCGTGGGTACCTTTTAATAAATCATTTGTGTGGCTTTCTTTTTTATTTAAACGGAAGAAGTCTTTTGAGTTAAACATGACCGATTCGTCATCCACCTCATCAAGTGGTTCTTCCTTAACGCAGTTACCATAACTTTTGTCAACACTTATCTTACTCAAAATTATTAATCCGTGCTTTGTGAACAGATATGGCATACGGCAACCCTTTATCATATAAAATGGAAAGGGTCCAATGTAGGACGCTATAGAATATATAAATCGATATATATTTTGATGATCAAATAGAATTTTCTTCGTTAAAAATTCAAACAATATGCAACCTAAGCTCCATATATCAATTTTTTTGTCGTAATTTTGTTGTAGTAAAACTTCTGGAGATCTATACGATCTCGTTTGAACGTACATTTCTAGCTTGTCGCTTTCGTATATAGAGCTGTTAAAATCTATTATTTTTATTTTTTCAAATTTTTCGCTGCTAAAAATGTGTCTTTCTGCGACAGCCTTGTTGGTACTACTACTATTACTACTATTATTATTTTGTTTATCCTTCAAATTGGCTGGAAAACATAACTTTTCCTTTTCCGGTACAAACACGTCCTTGTGCGTGGAAGACTTGCTCTTGTGTGTACTACCCAACGTTACTAAACCTGAGTCAGAACCTTTTTCTAAGCGCCCTCCTTTGTCTACTCCTTTCATTTTTCTCTTCCCCCTTTTCATGTTTATCATAATATTTTCAGGTTTCAAATCGCAGTGTACTAAATTTTTGGAATGGATAAATGCCAAGCCTTCCAGCAAGTTCTTGGCCAATATTTGTAGCTGCCCCAGAGTCCCTATCTTACCCTTTTTAATAAAATAATTGTACAAATCGCTCTGCATGTATTCCGTCACTATAATTAGATGTTCTTTGAAGTAAAAGTAATCATACAGTTGTATAATGTTCTTATTTGTGTGCGTCTTCCCCTTTCCATTTTTTGTGGAGTCGCTACTCTTATTCGATAACATGTTTAGAACGATCAGCTCCAACAATCCTTGGTCTAGGAAACTCTTTCCATTTTTCATTACCTTTAAGCACACGTACTTGTAGTTTTTATCCCTCGCAGTTCTGGCTGCGCAGGGGGGTTCGTCATTGCATATACATTTTTCTTGTCCTTCCTGGAGTTTTTTACGTGGAGTCCTTTCCCCTGTCGAATCTTCTACATTGGTTGAACTATTGACCACTAAGGAATCGCTTGTGCGTCCCATTGAACATGTCCTTGAATAACTCTGCCTATAATTATATACCTGATGAACACCACCCCCGCCTTTCCCTTTCCTGTATAGCACATTTAAACACTTAAGCGTGGTGCTGAACTTAGTTTTGGACAAAATTTTTACCACTTTATATTTATTCAAAATTAGCTGACCCGAGAAAAAATGGATTTCCCCCTTGGAATTCAGTTCGCCCTTGTTAGTTTCGTATATGATCCTTAGGTTAATTGCGTTATACGTGTGGTCACAAGAATTTTGGTCAACCCTGGTAAGGTCACTGTCGTAGTTACTTCCAAAGTGGCCTTCTTTATGGAAAATGGTGACTTGGTCCGTTTTAACGTTCTTTTGTTCCCCCTGTTCTTGGGATCCCTTTTCCATTTCCTCTTCACTGGATATCACAGTTGACCATCCAAGCGTTAGCTCTTTTTTTTTCTTAATCTGTTTTGACCTAAACATATTGTAATCTCCCTCACAGTACTCATCCATCCACTTATGTTCATCCCGTTCGTACTTTACTGCTTGCTCCACATCATCGTGGTGGTTCTCGTCACTTGACACATCTTTATCACTCTGCTCAAAATTTCCCCCATCTACATCTGGAATATCCTTATGCTGGATATGATGTCGACTGCAGCTTTCCACTCCTTTACTGAAGGAGGACTCATTATTTATAGTTATCGCGCTTGACAGCTCATCATCAAAAAATAGGTTAATTATGTTCTTTTCGTTTTCTTGGTAAATTTTATTATTCGTTTGTACACTCGTTTCATTGCTATTCAAAAAGAGGGAGCTATTCTTCATGCAGGTGTTGCTTCCTTCCTCACAGGAGTTATTACCATTTTCCTTACTTTTGTAAAAGTCCCTTATACTTTGATAGAAATCGCTCGTGTTACTATGTAGGTTGTTTTTTTTCTTCTGTATGCTATCAATTTCATACGTGTTGTTCTTCTCCCATTTATTGGTAACACTTTTGCCAATTCTATCATTATGTTTGTAACTGCCACTGCTGTGAGGGGGAAAATCGCTTACATTATTCTCCTTTTCTTGAATGAATCTTTCCTGTTTGTTCAATTTTATATGGTTTTCCTTCCTCGGGTTACTTTTCAAATTGGGCGTCAAATAAGCATTGTCCATTTCTTCATTAGATTGATAGGAATTAATCTCAAATTCGTTACACGCACAGTGTGCACTTTTATTTTCCTCCTCCATTTTTCCAAAGATAGGAGACATCTGTCGCTCTACTTCCATTCCAAATGTTGGTGAGCTAAACTTGTTGCAAGAGCCATTTCTACTTAGCATATTGTCCGTATACAAATTGGAGTTGTTTCCGTTTATGCTTGATGAATTATTAGACAGTGTGTATAGGGTAATGCCATTTGAGCTTCTCTCATAGTTGGTGTAGTTGGAGATGGAAAAGGTGTCCCTACTTTGGTCATCGTAATTTTTTATAAAGAAATAATTCCCAGGGATGGAGAAAAAGAAGGTTTTATTTTTATACTTATGTGTGTACTTCCTCTCTACATTTAAATAATAACCATCATCATAATCATCTTCACATCCATCATGATTTTGGGCCCTCCTCTTTAACATAATCATAGTTTCGTCACTTAAAAAGGAGGAGTATTTGCTTAATCTAACGTTGCTATTATGCACTTTAAAGAATTCTTTAATTTCTTCTATTAACATTTCCTTGGACACTCTCCTGACATTTAGGGCATAGTCTAAGCCTGCGACGTATCTGATTAGGGTTTCATTTCTTTGGCTAAGTATTAGGTCCCTGTTTTCTTCGCACAAATCTGTGCTGTTTGAAGAATCATCCGCGTCGCTGCAATTGGACTCTGACGAATGGAACCCACACAAGTAGTTTTTATTTCTACCTTGCCTTTCTACATCGTGGAAGTCGAAGCAGTTTGTCTGACCGAAATTTTTTTTATAATCCTCCTCATTTGTCTTCTCCGTGTGGTGATTCTTCCCCGCTCCTTCCCTTACGTCTACTTTATTTTCACCCCCATTGTACTGTTTCACGTCGCTTCCCAAATGTGCGTCATTATACGTAGATTCATTCTGGGGGAATCCATTTTGGATTTGGTCTCCGCAACGATCATTTTTCTCCTTACCATGCATTTGTCCCTGAGGCTCCTCACTTTTGCATTTACCCTGTCCCACACATGCACTCTCGACATTCTCACACGGGATGCCCTTCTCTACAATGTGAAAATGTAAAAATTCTATTTTGCTTACAAAGGCGCTAAAGGCCCTTTTAAAATCTTGTGCATCTTTACTTCTCTCATTTTGCGTGAGCACATTACTAGAAAAAATAAAACTGCTGCAGTGTTTCTTCTTGTACAATGTGCAGTAATTATGGAACCCTTCAACTATATCAAAAAGGGAAATTAGGTAATCCTCCTTGTTCAGCATGTTTTATTATTTTAAAATGCCGTTACATGAACAAGGAGTAACACTGAACGTAGATGAGATTGTGTAAATGAGTTGTGCCTTTCTGATGAATATACGGAAAGAACAGAAAACAAGAACAGAAAAAAATCAAATCATTTGAGGCCAGTCCAAGAAATTGTGTAGAATGCACTTTGTAATGGATGAGCCACGCCGAGCGGTGTGAAAAGCGCGTACCTGAGTTTCATTTAGTGCGAAGGATTGTCATGTACACATTTTTACAAGTTTTTGTTTTTCTTTTTTTCTAGCTTCCTCTCCCCTTTCGTAACATTTCAAAAATGTGAAAAATGTGCTTTTTTACTCTATTGTTGCGCTTTGTGTAATCTTTTGCTTACAAGCCATTTTACAATTGTCACCGTCATGAAACTCTCACCGTCAATCGTTTGCCGCACATTACGCTTGTGACGCACTCTACGTCATTTAACTTTTCCTTGCACTGCTCCTCTAGCACTACAAAATTGTTCCTATTTAAAGCGTAGCTCATGTAGAAATTTTCACGCATTAATTATTCTCAATACATAGAAAAAAAAAAAAAAAATAGTACCCACACGCTGCGCCTTCCATGTGGAATTCTTTAAACGTATGCATATATTGTCCAAATTCTTAAACTTACAAGCAGGGCTTACCTACATTGTTTCACCTTATTTTTATAGGAAATTTTTTTTTTTTTAAGACGTACAACCTAGGCGCATAGTATAGGAATAAATACGTATGGGTAACATAATTATCGGGAAAGGGAAAAAAAAAAAAAAAAAAAAAAAGGTACACACTTGTGCACACCTAATTGAAAAAAATTTGTAAAAAGTGACTACACAGAGTGTAAAGACTGTACACTGTGCACGACATGTCATATTTAGTATACACCTTCATATTAATGAAGGATCATATTTTTCTAAATTGTTAAAGTTTTCACTTAAAAAAGAAAAAAAAAAAAACATACGTGTTACAAGCATATTTATACGTACGTATAATTCATATATGCACACCCTACGCACATTTGCACGTGAGGTCTACATAAAATACATCATTGTGTTTAAAAAAAAAAATGCATTGATAAGGGGGAAGGCTTAAAGATCATAATGGCATGTTGTATTGGACACGTAGGGCATAAAACAAAAAACAGGGTAGATCAAAAAAATTTCACTAACTCTTTTGCGGTGCATGTGCTACATATCTTCTTTAGCAACTTAAAAAAAATGAATACTCTAATGAAAACTTTGTTATAATGTTTGGGGTGAGGAATGATTACTCATTACTCTTACATGCTGCGCAAAAATAAATGCGTCATGAAGTGTGAAAATGAGCGGGTAATTAGGTAGATAAACGAACGGGTAAGTACGTAAGACGCAAAATGCTGTTCAAATGGGGCAACAAAAAAATGATGAAAAAAAAAGAATACACATGTGTGTACGCATATGTGTAGCGTATCATCAACAAAAATTCGATTTTACACGGAGTTCAAAACAACGTGCCATTTGCAGGTTGGCAATTTTTTGACCCTTGCAGATACCACCCCAATGTGGGCCCATGGTGGATATACTGGGATCCTGCGCAACCACATGCGCATGCATTTGTGCATACGTGTTTGCGTGCACGCATGCCCCCTACATCCATCCATGTGTGACACATAAGCCGTATCCGTGGCAGCGTTTTGCCTCCACCTACTTGTGCACGTTAATTTCTGGGTCCTTTATATGCAACTTCGCGTTAAAGGGCTCATTCATTCTGTTACACACAATTAGCAAGAGCCGCACCACCACCTCCTGACTCTGGTTTTTAAACATGTACATATCACCGGGGCTAATTAACAACTGCATGTGCTTTTCGCATTCAATAGTGTTACTTTTCATTCCTGTGTCAATGAAAAAATTATTTGAATCACAATCTAAAATGAGAAATGTCATAAAGCCGTAGGCATTTTTTACAGGCCCATAGGTCGTTTGCGTACCTATTAATATAAGTGCCATTCCTCCTCCTTTGCTTTGGTAATTTAAAGGGATACAGGTGACGCCTTTTTTAATATTATTCTTGTAAATCTTTTCAAGTTCTATAATTTCGGTTGGTGATTTTTTCATGAATGAATTATTTTCCTGTAGAGAAGTATTAATTAATTTAAGAACATTTTTATTTTCTTCTTCATTTTCTGCGCTGCCATCACCCCTGTTCATACTTTGGTGGTCGCTATTCTTGCTATAATATTTTCTTATGTCATTTTGTTTCAACTTATCATTGGCATTATTTATGGCTGCAACTTCGCTTAATTTGGGTCTTCCCCTTTTCCTTTTCACCTTAACTTCTCCCTGTGTGCTATTTTCATTATTGTTGTTGTTACTGTTATTAGCGTTGCTATGATTGTTAAAACTATTGTTCTTGGTTAAAACGCTGCTCAACGAATTTTGCTGCTGCATTTTTTCTTTTAATAAACGAGCTCGGTATTCCTCCATTTCTTTTTTTTTGCGCCTCTTCCTTTTAGGTTTCACACCTGCTTCGTTATTATCATTCGTATTTCTCCTAACGGTGGAGACGTTATCCATATACGTTTTTCCTCCTGTGCTGTCCCCTGAGTTGGAAAACTTGTTGGAAATTTTATCATCTCCACCTTTGCTTTTTCGGTTATGTTTTCCGTCTTTCTCGTCATCTTCATCCCCCTCATCGTCTTCTTCGTCCTCATGCACTTTTTGCTGCATTTTATTTTGTGAGCGCTTAGATGGCCTACCACGTCTTCCTACCACTTTCTGCGTGGTTCGCTCTTCAATTTCGTCTTCCTCTCCTTCTTCCTCGTCATCTTCATTGTTTTCTTGACTTCCCATTTCTTTTTGTCTTTTTTTGTCTTTCTCCTTTTGTTTCATTCTTTCCATCAATATGACATGTTTCTTCCTTCGTTTTCTTTTTTTTAATTTTTTCTCCACTTCTTCATTTTGTTTTTCATTTACGACACTGGAATAATTTTTAAATTTACTTAAATGGTTCTCCACGGCGGATGGGACAGCTTTACTTCCGTCATTTGCTGTATTTCCCGCATTTTCACCTAAATGAACGTTGCTACTGCTGGGGTCGTTATTCTCCGCATCGTTAGCATTTCCGTTGTTGTTGCCTCCGCTATCATTGGTACTTTCACTCCCCTTAGTGTTTCCGCTGTTGTTCGTTTCATCCGGCTTATTTAAATTCTTTTTGTTCAAAATGTTTTGGACATTTCTCACTGTGGCTAGTCTATCTTTTAAAGGTAAATTTTTGCTTCTATCATTTTCGTTATTTAAGTTGGCAGAAATAGACCTCGCTAAGTTGTTACTTTTATTTATATTGCTGTTAATGGGCTTACTGCCGTTATTAAAATTGTTGGGGTTATTGTCTAAAAAGGCTGCTGAAAACACGTTAAACATTTTTACCTTTCTCTATGTACGTAGACACATCGAGGGAGGGGGGTTAATCTTCGTAGCAAAAGGTCGTATATGTGGTGTTTCTCAAAAAGCAGATGCTTCATTCCTTCAATTTTGAGGTACACTTTTTTGGCGTTACTTTGTTTAATTAATCTTACTCGATGTAAAAATTTTCTCCTATTTTAAAAATTAAATTGCGTTCACGTAGGGGGTGTAAAAGAAGGGGCTGCAGTACAGATGTACATATAAAATAAAATTAACTTCAAGTTCCCAGGCGCAAATGCTTTTTGTTAATTTAGCCGCTCAACGTGCCTTGTGGGGAATGCATAAAATTATTTCCCTCGGTAAATATAATACCACGGAGGTTTGCACAAATGAGTGAATAATAAATATACGTACGGATGCATGAAATATGTTACATTCACATACGCATACACTCTTCAAATATTCAGGTGTGCAATTTGGCTATTATACATTTTGATTAAAAGGCATATAATTATTATCAAAAAATGTACAATTTATATGTGCCAAATGGGAAATATAGCTGAAGGTGAAAAATATGTAAAAATTTTGATTGCACATTTTACTGCATTTTAAATGTGCTTATTGTGCCGTACACTTTTTTTTCTTTTATTTCATTTCACGTGCGTTTTTGTATACATTTTTTTTTTTTTTTTTTTTTTTCCTGCGCATGGGAAATATATACGCCGATTGGCGTGGTCACAAAAAATGTGTACATAAAAATGTATACTCCTTTTTCAGCATGTATTTGCTTTCGCTATTCTGTCCGTTTTGGTAAAATGTTAAGTTAAAAAGGGCTGCTACAATTGTGAATTTTCGCAAAAAATCATGAAAGCGTACATTATTTATGTACATGTATATAAAATTCGTATACGCTTATATTGCTGAACGCGCTTATGTGTACAAATGCGTCTAGTAACATGACAAACGGTATTGATTTGCTTTCGCAATATGCCCAATTTGGCAAAAAAAAAAGCAACAATTTGTTATAACCCCAAGTTCGCTTTATCTGTGAACGCTCCAACTGTGTGGAGGGCAAAGATGGGGAAAAATATATCTTACAAGCTTAAAAAAGTTCAAACTTAATACGGAAAAAATCCAGATTAACACGTGCTACCTGTTGCCATATGTGAGAATATTCAAATTCATTCCCCTGGGCTAACAAGATGGCACTAAAAAAGTAGAGAGTATTATGAACGGGTAAACATATACATATAAGGAAAAATGTCCCTATGATCAATTTTTTGGGTTCGTTAAATATGAAATAAAGCTTTCGTTTGTTGCATTTTGTCCCTGGAAAGTTAATCCTTCAAAATGGGATTCGTTCCTTTAAACTATCTTATATGCAGCAACAAAAAAAAAAAATAAAATAAAATAAAAATAAATAACATATGTAATACAAAATAAAAATGGTTTTTATTCTAAAAAATAGGCAGTAAGGAAAATATAATTTTCTCTCTTCCTTTTTTTTTCATGGATGATTTACCCCCAAATTGTGGGTATCCAAAAATGCCATATTTGCGTTGTTGTAGATATAAAAAAAAAAAAATGTTTAAGGCTTAAATTCGCATTCTTACAATGCCACAAGCATTTCTTTCTACATTTGCCTACTTGCACACATAAAAAGAAACTCTCTTTAAAAACAAAAAAAGCAAAATTATGGATAAATAGTTGCCAATTGTGATCTGCAAGTGAATATGCATTTATCGTATGATGTTGTAACACACATGTACGTATGCTAAACTGAAATGCAGAAAGTTAAAAAAAAAAAAAGAAAAAGATAAGAATAAATTAAATGTTTTTGCGACGGGCACGAAGTTGAATATTGAGAAAGGAACTGCTAAAGTGCCCATAAAAGGTGTAAAAAGGAGCAAAAAGAAAAGCATAGCAACTGTGCAAAAATGAGAAAACTCCTGAAGGTCGCCATTGCCGATGTGAACAAAATAGCATGTGACGATGTCACGAAGTCGTCCATCCCATTTAAAGGGAAGTTAAAATCACTAATTATAAAAAATATAGACAAATTTGAAAATGAAGAAATTTTGAAAATAATAGAAAATTACAATGGACACAATGGGAACGACAGGAAAATTCTAAAAAGCAGTTACGACGTTTTTAAAAACAATATACACCGATACTCCTTTGACCAAATAAATAGAATACTGAAATTGTACACCATATCTCAAGTGTATGACAACCAGTTTAATGTGTCCATCCTTGGTTACCTAATTAAGAGGCTCCATGCGATGCCCGCTAGCGTGACCGTGAACATATTTCATAGTAAGTGTGCCTTGGTGAAAGGCGCGGCCATTACACAGGAAAGCGCAATGAAACGGGGCAGACAGCACTGCATATGTACACATACAAATAAATGTGTATAGGCATATGTGCAAACGTGTGTGCTTCCCGTTTTTTGTTTTCTATGTACATAGATGGCCTCGACCTATGCCAGCCATACCCACCCACCCCCGTCTTGACAAATCAGCAAGTTCACCCCAATCCACTTTCCCGCCCACATCGCAGATTTGGTGAAAGCCGGTCTAAGAGATCACAGAAGCATTGAGCCAATTAAAGATCATTTTAGGAAAAATCTAGACGCGTACAATACCCTAGATTTAACAATTATTTTAAGTTCGTTCACCATGTTGCAGGAGGATATTATAATGAACTCTGCAAATTGGGGAGTCAACGAAAATTCGCAAAGTGCAAAGATGAAGAATTCTCCACAATGCGCCATTAATTACAACGATATTATCTCGTTCATACTGAATAAAATAAAAAATGATGAACACATTCACAACAATTTGAGCGTGGTAAATTCCATCTTGATACTAAATATGATTAGCCGATTGAATATTAACAATTACGAAATTTTTAAATTTTTTACAACAAAGTATTATAAAAATTTAAACGAAAGGGATGTAGAACCACACCACCTAACCCTGCTGCTCAACTCATTTGCAAAATGCAACATAAACATTAACATTCTGAAATATATAATTAAATATATGAACAACCAAAATTTTATTAACCAACTGTCCTACGTAAATATTACAAATGCAGTTCACTACATGGCAAAATTTAATTATAAAAATGTATTGTTTTTAAATCGACTCAAGGATAAAGTCATCGAAATTGTTGACACAATTCCGCAACGGGAATTCAGCAACATCATGTGGTCTTTATCAAAGTTAAAAATTAAAGACGATAAATTTTATATTGTGTCTCTCCATAAAGTTAAGAAAATAATCCCTTCGATGGACATGATGTCAATCGCCCAAGTGTTAGATGCACTACGACGAAGGAATTTATCAAGTGAGGTGTCATTTTTAGACAAGCTACTCGATCCCCAGGTGGTTAAAAAGGACACATGTGATTTACTCAACAAATGTCAAGAACCTCAGGAACGTAACAGAGCAGTGACGAATAAGAGCGTAGAATCAGCTGAAAATGTCGCAGAACAAGTAAATTGCGAAAGCACTCAGCTGGGGAAGAATAACCACGCGCACGCAAACAACACACCGTGGCAAAGTGCTCACCCAGAGCAAAGAACAGAGGAGTTGCCCCCAAGAGGGGCCCACAATGTATGCCACGTTCCCATCGAGTTAGAAAAAGGTGTCATCGATTTGTTAATACAGAAATATTTGGAAAATATAGAGCAATGCTCACTCCATGTGTTGACACAAGTCCCATTTTGCTCTCTTCAACTGAACTGCACTAATTACGACATTTACCACAAATCTCTTGAAGTTCTTAGACGGAAAAAAAAATATATGAGTACCTTAAATTTAATATATGCAAGGTACTTCATAAGGATTCTTATAGAAAAGCAAGAGGATAATTTCCAAAAATTGCCTCGCTCGGTTAAGCAATTCGCCAGGGAAATCATGAACTCGGATAGCACTTAGCAGTTCCTATTGTGAGTTCCTGGCGTATGTTATACCTCTGTATCTCTTAACTCTCGATTTGTGTATACGCATGTTGGTTGCTGGTTGCACCTTTTTTTATCATTATTTTTATATACCTCTGCTTTGGGGAAAATTTTGCCCTAGCACACCTTTGGAGGGCCCTTTTGATAGGCTCTTCTTTTTTCGTTTGCCCTGTCGAAGCGGTGTACCCAAGTAGACTCCTCCGCGTATCCCCTACGTGTAACTCCACGTATACATAATTACATTTGTGCACTTTCAACCTGTGTAACTTTCTTAGCGCTAATTTCCCCCCCATATGACTTTCTCTTTAGCTTCGCTCAATGACATCACATCTAATAAGGAAACTTGATTTTTTATACATAGATTTGCATATATTTATGTGCTATGCTCAGCACTGAACAGGGCGCGTCGTGGCAGTTTTTCCATTTGGCGTCGCTCAACTTTTAATATTTTTGTTTTAAGTGACACGTTGTGCTGTTTCAAAAACTGTGCAAACTTTTTTCTTTTGGCGCATAAACCGACCTGTATAAAAAATTCCACAACAGTTTTTTTTTTTTTTTTTTTTTTAAATAAATATAAAAAAATCAAAAAAAATAAGTAGTAAAGAACGAACATGTACAGTTACTGTAATAATGCCTTGCCAGTGTTATGTATAGAAGTATTCATATTTGAACCCCTATTTTAGCAAAGCAGAAAAAGGAGCCCAACCTAACAGTACCACGTAATGGCTGTTCGTATGCTTCATTTACAGTTGTATGTACATATTTAATAGGAACAGCTAGTTCATTCTTCCCTTTTACGCAGTTTATCAAGAATGGCAACAGTCAGTGGGTCAGAAACATTTTTACCTCTTGCCCTGATGGATAAGTGTATAGGTGCGCGCAGAGCAATGCGCTTCGCATCTCCTAGTTCAAATCTGCATTAGCGTGTGTGCATTTACATAAATACATACACCTGTATGCGCATCGCGTGGTAGAAATGCTTGCGCGTCATTCGTACGGGAAGGCAATCCTTTGAAGACTGCTCCCGATTAGCCCGCTTAAAATGCTCCCCCGTTACAAACAACCTTTTTTAGGCAGCAAAATATGGGTTATGCTGAAGGGTGACAAAGAAATAGTTGGAAAGCTGGTCGGATTTGATGAATATGTTAATATGGTAATGGTGGAAAAAAAAAACAAAAAAGCTAAGCAAAGCAAAGTCAGAGCACTCCCTGCCAAATCACCTCTGTCCATTTAACGAAACACAACACTGTCACAATTAAAATACCCGCTTCGTTCCCTTGCGCAGGTACTAGAAGATGTTACGGAGTACACTTACGTAAACAACGTTAAAAAGGTGAATAAAATAAAAAAGTTGCTGCTGAACGGATTGAACATAACAATAATGGTCCCAGGAGGTGTCCCAGTTAATTACTACGATTATGAAGAAAAGCTCGAGGAAAACATCGCATGATGGTATTTTTTTTTTTTTTTTCAAATTTGTATCTTTCATAAAGTGAAGAATCTCTTTACAAGTTGTTGCAAATACATGCCCGCGCGATATGTATCACAATCCGCGAGCGTATATGTATAAATGTGTACACCCGTGAATGAGAACACTCTAATTGGTGGCACATTGTTCCCACGCAGTGGTGCCACATTTTTTTTAAAAATATATCGTATACAAAAAAAAAAGATCATTTGGGGAAAAAAATGTTTTATGCGTATGGCAAGAAGGGATAGAAGGAGGGTCCGTAATGTGTTGACGAAACTAGTACGACAACTCCTCCCCACGCCTCCCCTTTTGTGGACACATCGCAACATATTCCCCACACTAGAAAGGGGCAAAAACCCAAAGGACAATGGATCCATCCGGGTACCCATTCGAAGTTGCAATGATATTCTGGTTCTTGGGGTACGTGTCGGCACTTGTTAAAAAAGACAAATGCTTGCTTTTATAAAAAGGCTGCTTTATGCTGTACGAGTCAAAATACGAATTGTCCGTGTGATGATAATTTGGCAAGTAAAGATTGCTTATTGTGTTAACATGAAAACCTGTGTATATGTCATACACATGTGCATAGGTGTCAATGGACGGAATAATGCACTTATCCCCCGCTACGCAGGAATAAAAATTAGGAATGTCCGTTTCGTTATTTATAATATCTGACATTTCGTAGTACAGCATGTATTCCATTTCATCTTTTTGTGGGTGGTAGATTTGTTTAGCCGAATTCGCCTCACCCTGATTGTGATCGCTTTTGTCACTATTATGATTCAACTTTTTATAATGTGTCTTAATGTATTCGTGGTTTCTCCTCAGACTTTCATTTAGCTCATCGTAAGGGATAAGATTCATATATTTTAGGTTATCCAGAAAGAGAGACCATGTAGGTTCCAACTTTTTATTAACATGTTCGTAAAAGGTATTCGTTTTTATTGTTTTTTCATCAAAAAGGCTGGAATCTGTGTTTGAGTAGGTGCCATCTGATTCGTTTTCCACTTCTTCTCCCCCCTCGTCACCCTCGTCCACAGCTTTCTTCTTATCGTCTTTACTTATTTTCCTGTTTAATTCGTTAACAAGTTTTATTCTTTCCTCCAGTTCTTTATCTTCATATATATTTTTAATGCTACACGTCTGGAATTCCTTATCACTGTATATGTCTTTCGAAAAATTGTCATCGTACAGCTTGGTGCAGTTGCCATACTCATTGTCATCCTCCCTCTCTTGATTATCCGCGCTGGGTTTGTTCAAATGATAAGACTTGTAATTAGCAAGGTAGGTCACCATATTTTTTGCGTTCTTCTTATTATTCATGTAGATAAAGTCAAATATTTTTGCATATTTCGTCTTGTTCGTGCTAATGATATATTTGTTGTTATAACTGAACATACAGTGCGTGATACTTTTCTCCTCATCATAAAAGGATTTAATAATATTATTATTTATGTCGTACAGACGAATATACCCGTCGTATCCGCTTGTCATCAGGATGTTATTAAATTTGTTTCTCGTTAGATCGAACGTGAGGGACGAGTAGGACACGGAAGAACACGAGGAGGACAAGGACGAATTGCTGCTCTCATCATCCAAGAAAAGCTCTTCATCTCCGAAGGTAACCGATTTTTCAGCCTTCCCACTATGTGATTCCTTTATCATCTGTGAACTGTTCCCATCAGCAGCACATTGCGTCCTCTTCTTGGCTCTCATTTGTCTCTTCCTTGATGCCCTCCTCATTTTATACGCACCTTCATAGTCTATCGTGTTGTTAAAATTGATGCTGGTCAGGATATCCTCATGTGAACATATGGAAGCATACGGATTTTTATTATCTAAAAATATGACATTGGATGTGGTCTTTTTATAGTTTCCTTTCTTATGTAGAGAAAACAAATTCATTCTTATGTCCCAGATTTTTAACAACCCATCACCCCCCCCTGAATACACTAAGAAATTGCTTACGTTTGGCACTGCCAAGCAGGAAGTGCTGCATTCGTGTGAGTCTTTAATAATAAATAAAGACTTATTAATAACTGGATTTATTTTCCTTATTTTAACGCAATTTAAGTCCACCATATTGATATTACTTTTGATCAAATCGCTGTAGTTATATATTGGGATGTACACAACTTTGTTATGAGTAAAATCCCTGTGCTTAACTTTAAGCCATGGGGCGTAGATGTTATTGAGTACGTTTTTTCTTGCCCCCCTCAGGGGCACTTGTGCTTTCCCTGTTCCTGCATTCCCGCCATTGTCCCCACTTCTTGCTACTCTGGAATCTTCCCTTTTCCCATTTTGACTTTTAATTATGCTTGGGATGGATACGTCTACATACCTCGCAACATCATCGTTAGAGACGTTCTTACTTTCGTACAAGTCAAATATTTCTATAATTTTATTATCACCACATGCGTATATATATTTATCATTATCGCTTATTGTCAAGTCTCTTATGTTATCAATCTTTGTACAAATTTTTGTCAGCAGCTTGTTTTCATACAAATCGTATACATAAATTATGCCGTTTGTTCCACATCCTGCTACGTACTTTCCTTGGGGGGAGAAGCAGACTCGGTTGACCCCATACTTGTTATCGTAGTATATGTCTGCGCTGTTTGCGTTGAACCCGTCTACGGTAAAACTTATATTATTTGTGGCATCTGCGTCGGGAGGTAAAACAAAGTTTTGAGGTAAGTTCTCTGGTTTGAACGTATTTGTTTGGGTGTACAATACACACATATGTGCACGCACCTCTGGTTTGAAGTAGCAACTGGGGTGGGGAGCCACAGACGGGCCTGCAGCTGCGCACGGGATTTAGGTGAAACAGCCCAGTGCCAACCAGGTCCACATGACAAGCACGTGGGGTAATGGGCAGCCATTTGTGGGATCACTAATAAGTGTCACTCCCACCCTCAATTGCTACCACACAGACTCAGCTCACCCGTAGGTGTTATGTACTTAAGCGCATTCAACACAACAGGACATAATTTCAATATGCCCTTTTTTCTATCTCCTCTTTAAGACCGTACCGGAATCATTGGTGTAATTTTTATTGATGTATTTATTCGTTCCCCCGAATTTTATAACTGGGATGTACTTCCCCTGTACCTTTTCGCTTATGTTCCTGAATTTCTTAGAGTCGCAATCGTTCATGTTTTACCACATTTTAGAAAAAAAGAAGAGGAGAATTGTTTACAACTGGAGAAAGCATCTTACGGGGAAGATCTTTTTTTCTTGTTTTTTCCTAGCATGTATAAAGGCAACAACTTATCGCCGTTCTAATGAGTATTGATTACCTCGCTTTGTACTAATGTATGTATATATATATATACTTTTTTTTTTTTTTTTTTTCCCTTTCTACCCCTCGTTATTAATGCCTAGTTGGAGGGCACAATATAACAACGCGCCAAGTCATCCCCTGCATCCGATCCCACCCTTACGTATATTTCCTTTTAATTTTAATTTCGCCTCAAACTTGGAGTGCGCAAATGGGCTTTTTTCATCACCCTGCGTTGTATATCTTTTCGTTTTATTCGGCCCAGCATGCACATATAATACATATATACATGCTTATGCATAGCGATAACGACCACGTGCCCATATGTGTACATGCCTTTGTTCGATACACGACAGACCACCGAGTGTAGCTGAAGCAGAAGCTAACGAAAAAATGAGGGTAACAGTTGGAGATTTATTCATAATATCTGAAAGGTAACACGCAGATTGGGATTTTTTCTATGATACGGAAACGTGTCGACAGGTGATGATTAGTTGTGCTATCATTCAACTTGTATACCTCTCCTGTGGTTGTAGCAGAAAATGCTTTTTTTTTTTTTTTTTTTTTCTGTTGTATTATCCCTGTTTTCCAACATGGCAAGGGTTACCTGTATAGATGGACTATGAACTGCCTTAGGGCAATTTTACACGCAGCGCCGTCTCCCACATGTAGAGAAACACCGTGCGAAAATTTTATTTGCTGAAGTGTAATCCGCTCTCACTGTCAACAAATGCGCATGTGGGGGATCAAAAGACACACCGATTAGTTACATCACCCCCGTTCTATTTATATGTATTCGTTTCAACTCGTGTGCTTTTCTGCCGATGCAAAGAACCTCGCACTATCTAATCACACGCTTAACAACCCGTTTTAGTTATGCAGATAAGTCATAAAAACACTTTGTCCCTTCTGTAATGATAAAATGATTAGACAAATACACGCCGCATAAACGCAGCCAACCCCAAAGTGTAGTCCATCCTTAAGAAATTCATCTTCGCACAGAAGGATCATACATGCCGAATGGGTTCCTCCCGAATATTGCACTTCTTATCAGGGAACAAAGCTCATGGGGGGATCAGCATTTATTAAAAATGGAAGTAAAATTTTAAACAAATTATTAACATATAGGAGGTGGTTTGTGGAATTTAAAAAGGGGCAAAATAATACACATACAAATGAACGCGAACGGGCGTGCGTATAGATAGGCATACTAGCAAATAGGGATCGCACACGAACTTGACAAAGGCTGATCGGGCTATTTGGACTTAAACTTGTTTATGTACTCCTCATAGGTGCACAACTTAAACTGCGGGTTCTGCAGCATCTTATATATCATCTTAATATTTTTGGCGTCGTCGTCACTTTTGGCAATTATCCAGCAGGATTGATCATCTACCTTACTTAGAGAAATCCAAATGGGCGACCAAATTTTCATAATCTCCCATTTTTTAAAATAGCTCGGATAATCATACATATAAAAATGTCTTGCCATTTCGTAGTTTTCTGCACTAGTTAGCGATACCACATTCGGCTGCGTTTTTACAATCTTTATTTTATTACACATATTTAAAAAAATATCAAAAAATGATTTCGCACATTCGTCTGTCCTTTTTGTTTTACTAAAATAAATATTTTTCCACATCATATTATTTTTTCTCAAAATGTAGTGACACTGAAATATGAAAAGCAGGCATGTTAGGAGGCTATCATAACCAGCATTATGTTCATCACTCGTTTTGGCATTTACATGACACTCGTGGCTTCTTCCTTGGGGAGACACTAATTCTGTTCCATTTTGATACATATTATCCTTTTTGCTATCCGAACTGTTACGATAGTCATTATCTGTGTCATTCATTACCTCTTTTTTTCCATCCATAGAAGTGTCCTTCGCTGTGGTGTCAAGAACATTACATGCTGCATCATTTGGCTGATCTCCAACCTTTACAAGATGGACAAAACATTGAGGGAGGTCCGAATGACCATTCGTAAAATTAAAAACAAAATCGAAATCGTTGCTGGCTGAAATTAGGGAAGCCATGTACTCACATAACCCCTTCAAGGTTGCAGGGCCATTCAGTGCATATAAATATTCATTCGTTTCGTTCAAGTACTTTGTATCAAATGTGTATGGAAATATTTCTGTCCATTTATTCTTAAAGACACTAATCGAATTTGGCAACTCATGATAAAACGTCTGATATATGTGCAGGATGTCATAAAAGCAATTATGTCCGATGATTATTTTTTTATTTTTTATAATTTCATCAAATAGTAATCTCACTCCAACTGTTTGGTTTATTTTCTCTATCTCGAATTGCAATGCCCTAATTTGTTCCTTGTACGAATCCTTCTCCGTCCGATAGATGGCTAAATGCTTCTTATCATTCACCTTGACAGATATACAGAAAATGCCGCTGAAATATTTCGTTATTAATGTATGTGCAAGTAATCTCAGATACGGGTTTTCTATTTCTATGTATAGGGGACAATCCGATGGATCATTGTTTGTGTTTGCTCGGGGTGGCAAGTCCATCCTTCCTACTTCCCCTGTCTGGTTATCACCATCGACAGAGATGTCTGCATGCTTAGAGTCCAATGGGATACCACCACTGTTTATCGGAGTAGAAGCAACATGGTTATTACTTTGAGATTTTGGCAAACCGGGAATATTTCCCTTGAACGTGACACTTTTTTCTTCATGCCCTCCACATCCATAGGGGTAATTCGTGTACACGCTGTTGTAATTCTCCCCTTTGCTTCCACTTCCTTGAAAAGTTGCACTCATATGATGCGAATGGGGCTCCCCCACACCTTCCGACTGGTGTAATGATCGCCCATCTGAACACTTATCCTTCTGCACCGAACTTGTTTTAACCTCCTCTCCGTTATTGAACCTCTCCACAGGATGGGCCACATCCCCGCGAGCCAGCCAAACACCAATCTTCTTTATTATCTCAATAACGGCTTCCTTATCCTCGTCGTCCACAATTTTATAATTTTCTATTTCTTGAATAATTTTCTCTACATCGACTTTTTTTTTGCTGTCATCCAAGTCCTTCTCTCTGACATCTCCCGTTTTCGTGTTACATTTATTCATCAAATTTTTTAGCTCGTCGATTTTTTCAAAGATATTTTTTTTTTTTTCTTCCTCCTCAGGTGGCGTTAAATAACCAACACCATTACAAATCCATTCGTTAAAATCGAAATTATTTTCCTTTAAGAAAATAAGAGTAGTTGTAGATACACTGAAGTACTTATTTTCCTTTGGAAAAACATAAATGCAGTATGGTGATATGTCCCACTCTTGGTCACACTTTAAGTAGTCCCTTTGGTCTACTTTTTCATTCTCATGTCTTGACACTTTAATATTGTGTAAATTCATTTTTCGCAGCTCTGCCTTTTCGTTTTCAACTCCTCCGTCTGCAACGCTTTTCTCCTTCTTCTTTGTGTCATTTTTCCTAGCTACGGTGATACCAATTTGGCATGGGAAAAAAGATTTGGCTCCATAACAATGGGCTTCATAACTGGAATCAATAGATATGTACCTCTCATCCTTTAGATGCAGCCCTGTGTACTCCACGTCAATAGAAACGAAATCGCTCTCATGAATTTTATGGATTATCTCCTTGTGAATATCATTCCAGTTATTCACATTAACACTTGTTATCTTGGAGTACCTTCTTTTTAACATGCCACATTTCACGATTGTATTCTTGTCTTTTAACACGAAATTTTTAAAGAAATAATTCATTACATTTGACATCATAAAAGGGGGACAAAATACAAGAAACGGCAATGTGCAAAAAAATCGGGCGATTCTATTCGTATTTTATACCCCATCATTAAGCGAACACATTGGGAATAATATCAGATCCAAACCTATGCGCCGGTGATCTGCATCCAACACGGGGGTATTGTAAACTATCTCTGCCTTTGGCAAATGCACAAAACTGAGGACAACCGACGGGGTAAAAACGTGTAGAAGCGATTGAGCGGTAGAGTAACTTATTACTTCTGCAATGTCCTTACGTAGCTGTGCAGTTTGCGGCCTGGATAAAAGGGGGGAGCGTAAAGAATATGTTTCCTTTGATGGTACTATCCGCATCGTGAACCATCCAAATGTCGTATCACTTGCGTGCCTACAACATGGTTCACTATAGAGGCGCAAAAATAGCCGAACGAATTAACATCCAGCTGAATGTGCCGATTCGGAAAGTGCTAAAAATATATATCTCCAACGTGTTCCCCAGCTATTCAATTTTTACACAAAACTTTCCCGGTATAGTTTATTACTCCCATTTTGGTGATAAAAAAAAAGTTGTGTAAATTTCTACAGAAACGGAACCGAGCGCGTATATCCTATTACTGAAGCGGCATCTAGGATGTATGGTTTGTAAATTTGTTCTTTACAAACATGTACACGTAATATTTTTTCGCAACTATCATTTTTGGGGTTATTGGTGAAGAAGGGGCCACTCAAGCCCGCATTAGGAGTAAAAAAAAAAAAAAAAGTGCACAAAATACTTCTTACAAACAGTACAAAGTAGGTACAAAAAAAAAAAAAAAAAAAAAATTTCGCCATCCATTTGGGGCCTCATTGGCCACGCACACATAAAAAAAGTAGAACACTGTGTAGAATCAATCACAAACAAATTTTAAACGAAATGGAATAGGCGAGATGAAGGTATGCCCATGTGGCAGATAAAAAGGGGAAAAAGAGAACTAGACAAATGGGATTAACAAAAGAGGTGCGTGTGATGTGGTATAATATATGTACACATGTGTATATATGCACAGATGAGAAAAAAAAAAAAAATTAAGATTAGGAAAATGTGAGGTGCTCCAAAGTGGGAAAAAACAAAGCAGTCCTCAGTACGTACCCATTCTATACACAGCGGCATACATATCTAACTACACACATACAAAAATGTTCCTGTTATATGGCAAATGAACTAATGGGGGGTGCAAAATGTTGTGGCGCTTTTTGGTACCTCTTACTTTTGCGCTTCTCCCCATCTGCACAAAAATTTATTCACTTCGGTAGGCACTACTTTTCCCGATCTGCTTCACTTATGTTGTTATTTTCATTTCGATACACATTTAGGGGGATGTTGCTATAATTAGACTCATTGGAGGGGTTATACATCGGGGAAGTGAGCTTATTATCATTGCCAATTTTGTCCAAGTTATGGCCGGTGAAGGAGCCTTTTTCGGAGAAGCCGTTATAGCTGTAGTTGTAGTTGTCCAGCAAATTCTGCACGTTGAAATTTTGCTTAATGTTTAAATGGTGGAGGCTGCTTAAATCGGTCGGCGCGTTGACATGTGCGTTGCCATGCGCGTCGTGGTTAGCGCTAAACAAATTTTGACTCAAGTTGGATTTGCTATTTACGTCGATTTTGCGCAGGAGATTTCCCATGTTGCTGGTCATACTGTTTTCATAACCTGCTACATTATAGTTGCTGCTTATTCCAGCGTCTAAACTGTGCACATTTAAATTGGAGGAACCAGGAACAGCGCCTATGCTGATTGCGCTACTCGTGTTGCCGGTGTCTACCACATGGGAAGCGTCACCTATGTGCCTCAATTTGGCCACATCCAACGATGTGTTGTACGAGTCCACGTGCGAACTGTTTATATAATTATGAGAAGCCTGGTAAACGGAGTTACTGCCTCCGCTGTTGTTCATGTAACTGTTCAGTATGTTTGAGTACTTGTCAATTAAGGCGTTGTAATTGTTATTCGCGATGCCTCCAAGATTGTAACTACCGGCATTGTCGTAGCGGCTGAGGACGGGAGCTCCATTTAAAACGCTTTTATCTACGGATTCTGCCATGCCGATTCGGCTGTACTGGTTTATGCTACTGGGATGCATGCCCCACTTGTCCTCAACATCGCTATGCAACAAATTGCTGAACTTGTTAACTACTCTCTTTTTTAAAAAATCTTTATTACTACCAAGTTGGTTTGCCTCATTCGTGTAGTCCACCCCCCTGATGCGATGCGACAAGCCACTTAGCAGTCCGTTCGCGTAATTTTCTTTCCCCCCTGCGTAGTAATTGTCGCTCGAGTTCACGTTCTCAATACCTATGTACTCCATTTTGTCATCGTCCCTTTTGTTGCTGTCCCGTCTGTTATCACCGAGGCTGCTGCTTACTGGACTGCTACCCACGGCGTTGCCAAGGTCCGATTTACTCCCCACGATCAGGGAGCCTTGTTGCGTTTGCTTATTTTGGTTTCCACTCTCTGATATGGAAACACCAACCGATTTAGCATTCGCCAAAGAGTCTTTTATCTTCGTTACATAATTGTTAAAATCTAGGGTAGTTAGAAAGTGAACAAGGTAAGCGTGGTTGCTGTTGGAGCTTATATTGACCATTTCGTTCATGACACAGACTAGCCTTTCATTAAAGGTGTCATTATACTGTAATAACTTTTCAATAACTTGATTTAAATCATTATCCTTCTCTTCATGATTGTCATTATGTTGCTCGTCGTCCGCTTCTGTCATGTCTCCTTTTTTTGTTTTGTTTTTCTCCTGCTCATCCACCAGTTCGTAGTTTAATATATCTGTGAACAACTCGTTTTCTATTAGACACTGGAAGAAGTAGCAGAATTTGAAGGACGTGTCTATCAGCTCGAGCAAAGGGTTTGTTATATCTTGAACCCTTAAGAAGCACTTGGTGGCTACCTGCGAAATGTACAAGTCATGAATCGACTTGGTATACTCAAAATCTTTCGATTTGTGAATTTGTGTAATCATCAATTTGTATTCGTAATTAATGATGTCCTCTTGCAAATACTTAATCAAATGAAAAAAAAAAAATTGCATCTTATATCTAATCGAAAACAAGTGAGAAAATAGCAACCCCCCTTTTCTAAAATTCAAATATTTGTACAAATGTCTATTATGATAGCACAAAATTTTTAAATTGTAATAAACTCTGCTCAGGAGGAAAAGAAACTGGAATATGGAATTGTACGTGTAGATGGTACTCGTGTTGATAATCAGAGCTATTGGCCATGTGAGCTTGAAATATATCTCCAAGTTATTCCACAAATTCAGTCCACTATGAATTTGTATGTTCTTATTTATCTGCTTGTCATAGAATATTAGTGTTTCGTTGTCTATGTCAATTTCAGGAATCTCTATTGGGGATTTGTAAGACTGGTGGAACCATTTGTATATTTCCACTGAACAGTCATAGGAGCTGAACAGAAGAGCATTTTTCATTTTATCCCTATTACAGCTGATAATCTCTGGGTCCAATTTCCCCTTGTTCTGGCTATTCTCATTTCTGTATAGAAGCAATTTGTTGATATTTCTCATTTCGTTTTGTATCGCTTCCTTATTCTTTTCGTCCACCATGTTAAAAAAATTCTTCTTGTAAATATCCGAACGGGCATTCAGCGTCTCACTGTAGAACTGTTTGAACCACTCATTCAGTTTGTTCTTCTTTTTCAGCAACTTATGTTTAAATAAAATGGGGCACGTATAAAATCCTATGTAGCCATTTCCAATGTCCAGGGTGAAGGCTTGCGTCATGTCTAACGCTCTGATATGGATAATTGGCTTTATTTTATTCTTCGGGTTATTCAGCTGCAGGTTATACTCATCCAGTTTTTGTATGTAAACACTAAAGGAATGCTTGAGGCAGTTAATTCGCACCCGGAATTTTGTTAACGAATTTTTATTTATATTATAAAATGTCTGTTTATTACTCTGGATTTTCAGCACGGGTTGTTTTATAGCTTCGTCGTAATTTCCTTCTACATGTTCACTCATCAGGTCATCCTGATTTGCTGCATCTGCACTGTTGGCATTCCTCTTCCGTAAGTAACCTTCATCGTTTTCCATATCTTCGTACAGCCTCTTCTTTTCGTGGTTTACATTGTCTGCCCAAAGTTTGTTGTTTAGTATGGACTCTCTGGCGTAGTCCACGGTGTAGCTGTTGCTGTTATGAACAAAGGATGATATTCCTTTACCCCCTATGTAGAGAGAGACCTCCACCTCGACATCACCCAGTACTACATTGCTGTGCCGGTCCAAATGCTGAACAGGGTTACCTGTTTGCTGTTCCGAGCAAGCAGCCTCCTGTGCGCCATTCCCCTTTTCGTAAAATTTTACTTTTATTTCAACAGAAAGGCAATCCCCCAAAGACCCCCAGTATCCCAGGGAGCTGTGCAACACGTCCGTTTTGTAAAGCAGCGGGTTCTTCATTGAATGGATAACCAAGGCGAAGCAGCAACCAACCAAGAAATTCTCATCTGCACAATCTTGTTTAGCATTACCACTCACAGCCCCCCCTTTTACATTTGTTCCATTATTACTACCTATGTCGGCAAATTTGTTATCGAAAAAATTGTTAAAATTTACAGAAAAATCAAAGCCGTGCTTGAACCCCCTCAGTATCTGTTGCCGATAATTATTAATGCACACACTAAACACATTATCATAATCGTAGTACTTTTTTTTGCTCAATGTCTGTATACCTTTGTAAAAATCATTTAGAATGATCTTATTGTCATACATATAGCACATGCCACCTAGTACCAGGTTATCATACTTTTCTCTTTCGAAAGAATCGTACGAGAATTTTTTGTAGGATATTCTTGGGTAGAAATATTTCGAAATAATATTCTCCGAATTGTCACTGTCAAAATGGTATCCATTTGTGCTATTGAAAAAGGTGGACTCATTTAAGTGCCCATTGTCCTCTCCAAATACCGCGTCATCTTCATATTTCTCCAAAA